CCAAGATTACTGAGTCGGTGATCAGTTAAGGGACATCCGTGGGGCTCCTGGCAGAGATGGCTCTGTTAACACAAAGGACTGGAGTATATTTTATTCTGCAGAGAGAAAGGCAGGAAACCTGGTGAGGCCTCAAGGGGCACCAGAGCCCTGGAGCCCTCCCAGAGGGCGCACTGGACACTCCCCAGGGAGCAGCCTGCGGCTTTGTTTGGAGGACGGCTTCGATCGGGGCAGGCAAAGGTGGATTCCCCCCACCTCCTGCACCACAAGAGAACCCCAGGTGTGCCTAGAAGCTTCCTCCAGTGGAGCAGAGTTAAGCAGAGGCATCAGTGTGGTGGGATGGGATGGAAAGAGGCTGCTGAGAAGGTCCTGGAAGGCTCCGGTGCACCTACGGGCCCCTGGGGGTCTCCAGCTCTGCTTTGTCCTTCTGCCCTCAGACCCTTTCGGCTTGAAGCAGCAGCCTATTTCCCCTCTTGGGAGAGCCAAGAGAGGATTCACTGTGATTTTCCACTTGGGGCCTCTCAGGCCTGGGAAGGGCTGGAGGGGGCTTTTGGAAGCTGCCTTCTTCCCTTCCTTCTCCCCCTTCCCTCCCCTCCTCTCCCCTTCCCTCTGCTCTCCTGGCATGTGAGGCATGGAATGGCACTCTGGGACCCCGGGAATGAAGACAAATGAAGGTTTTAGGGGGGAAGGAATAGGGAACTTGAGGAGTTTAAGTAAAGGAACCCATGTTGGGAGACAGGAAGGACCCCGTGCTAACAGTTTAAAGATCCAGGCTCACACTCTGGAGAGGCTGGAGTCAGGGAGGCCAGCGCTGAGGGCCTGACACTGAGGCCAGGCAATGCCAAGAACACAGGAGGGCCTGCCAGCTCCCAGACTGGTGGCCGGGCAGCACTGAGCAGCCAGTGCCAGCCAGAAAGCCCTAGGGCTGGGCTGAGTCTTTCCCACACCATCCTCTCCGCTTCCCCATCCATGAAGATTTTCTCTTTCTGGGTTCCCAGGGAAGGGCCATGGTGGAGAAGAAAAATGGGCAGCCCCCCACCCTACCCCGAGCAGACCCCCAGGTAGGCGCCAGGGAGACGGACACATAGAGCTGGACCCACCAGCACATTGATAGCATTTGTCTTGTCATCTTCTGTGAATTTCCCGTCCACGCACTCCTTCAGGCTTCTGGCATTTTCCAAAATTATAGTTTCGTTTTGGTACTGGGCCACCTGCTGGACATACTCGTCAGGGGTGCCCGTGAGGAACAGGGTGACATCGTGCTCCACAGACGAGCAAATTTTACAATCTGGAACACAAAGATAAGCTTACACTCTGTTGAAAGACCTTCCCCGGGACACATTCCTCCTTTCCTCCCCCCGACAGGCTCAGAACTGCCCTGGGAAGGTATCAGAACCCCTGGAGAACCTGGGGCCCTAGGCGCCCACCTCTGCCAGAGATCAGGAGCAAGGCAGCGCAGAGAAGCAGGAGAGCACCGGGCAGCTTCATGATGTGGGTGGCAGCTGCTCCCTGCCCCGCCTGGAGCCCTTTTATGCCCACGGAGGAGCAGGTCGGTCCTCTCCCAGGAGGCCCTACCAGGCCTCTCCTCGATGCAGCCTGGACTTGCCCCGGGGGCACGGAGGGATGAGGTGTATGTGCAGGTGACATTCTAAGTCCCTGAGTCAACAAAGGACACAAACTTGACCTCCCTTCCCCATCCAAGGGCTCTGTCCAAGTGTCAGCTGACACCAGAGGTTTCAGAACTGCAATTTCCTAGGTTGACTGGGAAAAGGGGCAAAAGTCTCCCAAATCAGGCCTCCCGAATGACGGCCGATGTCAGCCTCTCATTACCTGTGACCTTAGAGACAGTTTGGGCAGAGCTGAGGGATTCTTCAGGAAGCCCAGTGCTTAGCTAACGGTCTCACAGCGAGGAAGCCCCTGCCTGCAGCATCGTGTCTGTCCTTGACCTGCTCAGTGGCCTCCCTTGAGCCAGTCCTTGGGGTCTGTATCTGGAGCCCCGAATCCTCCCCTCCATGCTGACCAAGCCCTGTCACCTGGTTTCTCTGGTAGCGCCTCAGTCTGCCTCAGAAACAGCATTTCCCTCACCAGCCTTTTCTCTTGAGCTTCTCTACACGGTCCACACCGCTCTGTCTCCAGAGGTGCACATGAGGAAAAGCCAGGCCTCTTCTCCGGCCTACAGTCCTCGTGTGCCTTGTAGGCCCGGGCATTTCCCTGCCCTTCTGTCCCCGCTCCCTGGTCGCCCTGCCGCTTCTGGACTGGACCCGTGGCCGGCTGCTTTGTGTTCCAGATTGTACCCCCGCAGCAGGGCCTTGGCTCGAGCTGCCCCCGCTGCCTGCAAGGCTCTTCCTCCAAGAACATGATACGTGGCCTAATGGCTCAGGTCTCTTCAAATGTCAGCATATCAGAGAGACTTTGCTATGGGCTTGACCCCTTGGAGCCTTGCCCCCGCCCCGCTGCCTTCCCTGACTTCATCTCCCTCCCTGGCTCTCCCTAGCACTCATCGATTGTCTTTCCCTTCCTCTCCGATGTATAACGAGCTCTGGGAAAGGGGGGGCTCGGCTGTGTGTGGTGCTGCGTCCCCCGGACGGGGACACATAGCGGATGTTTCACGAATGTTCGCTAGAGGAAAGCAAGGAATCCCCTATTTCTGCGGAGCTGACCACCAAGAATGGTTTTGCTTGGGCTCGCTTGCTGGCAGTGCCTGCGTGGCCTTTCTTTACTCTGAGTCATCGGGTCAGAAGAGGGTTACTGGAGCCTAGAGCTGAAGGGAGGGCACGCGTTTTTTGACCCTAGTCAGAGCCTTATGCCAAACAGGATTCACATCCGGTAACTGCTCTTGGCAAAGGGGTTTTGAGTCCCGAGCTCCCCCGTCAGGTGGCCGCTGTGGAACCGCTCCAGTCCTGATGCCCAAAGGCCATGCCTGTGAGGGCATCTCACGAGAGGCTCAGGCCATTGCAGATGTCCCTCAGGTTCCTGGGCACCTGTGGGACATCTGGGAAGGTGAGCACCAGAGGCCCCTGAGCTGACATGCTGGCGGGACCGAATTCCAGTGTGGTGGGGACACCCAGGCAGGGTCTGCTGTCTTTCACTAGGTGCTTCCTTCAAGTTCTCCCCAGCTCTGGGAGACGATGAAGCCAGAGTTTGGGGTGCTGGAGTAACACAGGATGCTGATGTCCGCCCAACCCCACCGGGTGCCACAAAACCATCTGAGATCTCTCCAGAGGCGGGGACATTTGCTGAGGTTGGGGGAACTTTCTGGACAAGGTCTTGCAGTATATGCAATCCCTTACTAATGCAAGTGTTTTTTTTTAAATTCATTTTTATCCAGAGTAATTCTAGACTTACAGAAAAGCTGCAAAGATTTGTCAAAACCAAGAAGCTGACATTGGTGTACCACTACTGACTAAACTCCAAACTTTATTTGGATTCCACCAATTTGTCCATTAATATCCTGTGTTCTAGAATCCAACCCACATCCTAAACACAGTATTGATTGTTATGTCTCCCCACTCTCTCCTGATCTGTGACAATTTCTCAGTCTTCCCTTGTTTGTCTTGGCCGTGATGGTCTTGAAGACGGGCCAGGTGTTAGAGAATGTCCACCAAACTGACTTGGCTGCTGTGTTTCTTCTAATTTGGATTGGGGTTCAGACCTTGGGTTTTGAAGGAGACACCAAAGAGGGGAAGTGCCATATGCCATATGCCATACATCACATGTGGCATGTGTGACATCAGTATGTCTCACCACTGGTTGTATTGGCCTTGATTGTTTGATTCATGTTGGGTTTGCTAGGTTTCTGCATGGTTTCCTCCTTTCCCTACTCTCTAGAAGTGAGTTACTAAGTCTAGCCTACTCACAAGGAGGACAGAGCAATGAGCTCTGGTTCCTGAAGAGAGAGTATCTATGTGTATTATTTGGACTGCTTCTGTGAGGAATATCTGTGTCTTCTCCATTTACTTATTTATTAAATCATTTATTTATATCAGTATGGATGCACAGATACAATTTTATACTTTGGGTTATCATCTAATACTATGTCATTTCTGTGATTGCTTAAATTGTTCCAGATTTGGCCCCTGGGATCTTTCCTTCTAGAATTTTCATGGACTGTCTCGCCTTGTTTGTGCCAATAAACCACTTTGCTAGAGTAGAAGATTGAGTTTAACTCTTGAGGGAGTTTAAGCCGATGGTGTGCCCCCTCTGGTTGACCTCGCCCTCTGGTCTGTAGAGCTCCAGCCCGCGGTGGGTACAGGCGACAAGCTGCACAACTCTACAACTACTCACCGATGTTTCCGGATGGGCTGTTAAGCCCAAGCTCTTCTTGGGACCAGGCTCACCTATGAAGGGGATGAGACAGAGCCAAGGCTGGACCCACTGGGAGTCCAGAAGGTGCCCAGGAATTTGCTCCTTTAAGGGCAAGAAGGGAACAGGAAACATGATCCTACGTTGGGAGTGTTATCAGCCCTTGAGGAGCCCTGCAATGGCCAGGAGTCCTGAGACTTCCCTGGTAGGGCGTACTTCAGGGCCCAAGAATGGTGCCCATGCATCCCTGGGGCTCGGTCCAGAGCCTGCAGCCCTGAAGGTGGTCAAGAGGGTCTAGTTGGGCTCAGCACCCCATACGTATCTGCAGGACTTCAACATAGGCACAGGAAAGGGTGGCTGATCTTTTGTCAACCTGTAGTGGCGTAGACTTGTCCTTGACACCTCATATGATTGGGAATGTACTGCACTTGAAGCCAGGATAGGTTGGGGGAACGAGTTGCAGGCCATAGGGGTCAATGTTGGGGCTGGGACAACAGAGCAGTTGGCTCGGGATGGAGTCACTTGGAAATGCCAGCTCTAGTTGGTCTTTGGCAAAGGAAAAAACCACATCCTCTCCAGGAGGCTTTCAGCCCAAGGGCTGAGGGAGCCACACGTGCCAGGTCCTGCCCATAGGCCCTTGGAGCACCTAGGAGGGGTCTGGGCGAGGCTCAGGGAGCTAGTAGTTTATAAAGCCGCAGAAACGCTGCCCTGAGCAGAACATTCTGGTGGCTGACACTATGAAGGGGACACTGCTTGTGCTGGCCTTGCTGGTGACCCAGGAGCTGGGCATCGAGATGGGTGAGAGTAGGAAAGAGGGACAGATAGCTTTCCTGATCCTTGTCCCGCTCTATCTCACTCCTTCACCCCCCATGGTGATCTCCAAGTAGCTTCTACGGACAAACTTAGGGGGCAGCTGGGAGGTCATTGCCCAGGAGTCCTGCATAAGCCCCCCCTGAGGTTTCCAGTCACAGAGTGGAGGGAGAGGTTTGGAGATGGAGGGGTCCTTAGTTGTGCACAAAGTAGGGGATAGTTCGTTGGGGGTAGTGGGGCTTACGGAAGTCAGAAGCAGGCAAGGCTGGTACGCTGTTCCCTTCTGCTGAGAGTGTCTTGGTTTCTCCATCTGGGTTGTAAGCAGTCCTGGGAGTGGGGAAACAGGAGCTTCCTACCCTGGTGATTCTTTCATTGAGGTGTTTTCTGTTTGTGTCTTCAGTGAAATCTTGCCCCATTTTTTATTTTGCCTTTGGTGCCCTGGCCGTTGGAGAGAGGTTTCCGCTGGACCTCAGCCTTGATCTAGTCGGTGCTACTGAGCCAGAAAAAGAAGCCTTAGAAAAAATCCAGGATTGCTACAATGAAAAGGGACTGGAGGCCCAGGGCTTGGATCTGATTGTCATGGTAATTTACTGGCCCTTCCCCCTCCCCCCCCATGACACGCAGGCAGCGTATTGTAACATCACACGGACGGACGGACGGACGGCGCAGTCAGGGGCCACAGGATGGACAAGAGCTATGATGCTTGAAACTCTGCTCCGTCCTACGGCACACAGAACACGCAGCCGCCCGCCACCTGCACACCAGCCTCTTCTACCACATGCATCCCTTTCACGCCAATTTACACACAGCTGGAAAATCAGGCACTGATATCCATGCAACACAGAAAGTGTGTTGACACGTGATTTTTTTTCCCCCTACTTTACAGGAGCCAGCACTGCAGGAGTAGGATTTGATTTGATTTGATTTTTTTGAAGATTTTATTTATTTATTTGACAGAGAGAGACAGCCAGAGGGAACACAAGCAGGGCGAGTAGGAGAGGGAGAAGTAGGCTTCCTGCTGAGCAGAGAGCCTGATGTAGGGCTCGAACCCAGGACCCTGGGATCATGACCTGAGCCCAAGGCAGACGCTTAAGGTCTGAGCCACCCCAGGCAGGAAGGCAAAGGTCCTTCCTTCAGCTCCCGCAGCTGTGGGAGCGCGCTCAGCTCTGTTCCCGGAATGTTGAAACCCGACCACCTGCCCTTAGACTCTCTTCTCAGGAAGGGGCCCCCTGGCCTTGGGAGGCTTCTGGTTTTCGGCCCATTTCATGGCTCTCCTCGATGGCTGTTCTTTGGCTCTGTATCCCGCTTCCATCTGCATCATCTCAGGGCCTGAAGCGGGGAGGGGCCCTCGTTGTTTCGTGCCTGGGCCCCTGAGGCAGCCGCTCCCCAGGGCTGGTCAGAGCAGCCCCGAGGAGCGGTCTTTCCCGGTCATTGTTCTGGTTGCACCGTTAGGTAGATTTGGATCAGTCTGTGTCTTACTCGGTCTTTCCCGAAGTGCCGATTCTGCCAAAGGCGAGGTTTGTGAAGAAGCAGAATGTGTTGGGTTCACAGAAGCACACAGGGCCCAGGAGACCACTCACCGAGTCGGCATCCACACCCCCACCCCCACCCCCCCACACCTGCCAGATGCCAGGCAGGGGCAGGAGGCCTCGACCCAGCCTCAGCCCCCTTGTTCTTCGCTCAGGCCCAGCCTCCATCACAACCTCCTGAAACTCTGGCCTTCCCCACTGGGGGTTCAGACTCCCTCCTGACATCTGTGTATGGGAGACCAGGGAGTCCTCTTTATGCCATTCTGACAGATAGCAGCTTCCTCTCCAGCCATCCGTCTGGGGGCTGGAGGCTCCTGCTGGGGCTGGAGCTCAGTCACCGAGGATGGGCCTCGTGGTGATCCCGGGGGGACAGATCACTCTGTCTGTTGCTCAGGTCTTCTGTCCCCCCTCGTCTTACTCTCTCCCAGACTACCATCACCACCAGCAACCAGTGCCTCTTGGAAGCCATGGCCCCACTGAAGAATGCCGTGGCCTCTTTGGGGAGATGAATCTTTGTCCCGGATGCCCAATCTGGGCTCTGTCCCCTGCTCTGTTCTTCCACGTGAAGCTGGAATCCCGATACCGGTCCTTACCTCCGTCAGTCTCTCTCAGGCTCGCTGTAATAAAGTAACTGCAGCTTAGCTCAGCGTGCCCCGTGTCTGTGTGCTCTGCAGAGAGCGTGAGAGGCCTGGCAGGGGGTCCCGGGACACAGCCGAGGTGGGTGACACACGCGGTCATCGAGAGCATGGGGACTGGAGTTGGGCCGAATCAGGAGTGGGTGTGAGCGGATTCGTCTTTCTCAGGCGAGTCTCTCATCTGTAAAGGGGATTCTGTGTTCAGACTAAATGACATGTATGTAACCCCAGGATTCACCACTCTGGATGGGTCAGAATGTTGCCCACGTAGCCTGTGGCTGAGTCTGGTGCTGTCCCAGTTGCAGAGAGTTTAGCTCCTTAAATGTCACCCTGGTCACTAGAGGGTGGACTCTAGCATCATAACCTGAGGAGGCTTATTGCAAGCCTCTCTGTCTCCGAGGGGCAGCCACCCTTTTATGTTTCTTAGGTGGATGTCTTCTGAGGAGTCCGGCCTTTTTATTTATTTTTTTCCAAAGATTTTATTTATTTATTTGAGAGAGAGAGATGCAAGTAGGCAGAGAGGCAGGCGGGGGCGGTGGGGGGGGGGAAGCAGGCTCCCTGCTGAGCAGAGAGCCCGACATGGGGCTCGATCCCAGGACCCTGAGATCATGACCTGAGCTGAAGGCAGAGGCTTAACCCACTGAGCCACCCAGGCACCCCGAGTCTGGCTTTTCTGCTGAAACACCCAGTTCCACTGCTGTTCCTGGGTTCTGCCAGTGGAATGAGGCCCCCACAAGCAGTCCTGCTTAGGAGGAAGGGAGAAAGGGAGTGGATGGAGGAAACCAACCCAGAGGGAATGCTGCTGTTGCAGCGAGCTCAGGCTCCTAAATCTTACTTGCAGGATGTGTCACCCGGGGCAAGTGTCATGAACCCTCTGAGCCCATTTCCAAAGGCATCTAACCAGCAATTGTATTTAGAAAGCTACAAGGCAAGGAGTAGGTTTTATCTTTATTTCCTGGAGACTAGAGCGGTGCTGGGCTCCAGCAAGGAGCGCTTTTTTTTTTTTTTCCCCACAAAAAAAGTAGCGTAGCAGGTGACCTCTCTCTACCTTCCTCGGCCATGCAAGCACAATAAGGTCACACTGAGGGTGTTGAACTTGGGACATGCTAAGAAGCCAGGGGTTTGAGTTCTGGCTCATCTCTGGCCTAATGGTTGAACTTAAGCATTTGAATTTACTTGTTGGCTCGTTTTACACCTGGGTTTTATGCCTACCAAGTCCACTAGACTCACTATTAAGTGTTCAGGTGATAGTAAAGATCTAAAATTTTATTGGTAAGTACAAAATAAAATTTGAATTGATAGAGGGCTAAATCATATATTTACATGGGATAAATCAACACTGTAGAAATGAAACTGGAGGGGATTATGTTGAATGAAATAAGTTGAGCAGAGAAAGACCATTATCATATGGTTTTACTCATATGTGGGACATAAGGAATAGAGCAGAGGACCGTAGGGAAAACCGAATGGGAGGAAATCAGAGAGGGAGGCAAACCATGAGAGACTCTGGACTCCAGGAACCAAACTGAGGGTTACAGAAGGGAGGGGGTGGGGGGAAGAAGTAACTGGGTGATGGGTATTAAGGAGGAAACGTGTGCTGATGATGAGCACTGGGTGTTATATGCAACTAATGAATCGTTGAACACTACATCCAAAACTAATGATGGGGGCGCTAGGTGGCTCAGTCCATTAAGCCTCTGCCTTTGGCTTGAGTCGTGGTCTGGGGGGTTGGGGAGCCCCGGGGCAGGCTCCCTGCTGAGCAGGGAGCTTGCTTCTTCCTCTCCCTAGGCCTGCCACCACCCCTGCTTGTGCTCACACTCTTGCTCTGTCAAATAGATAAAATCTTAAAACAAAACAAAACAAAAAAACTACTGATGTAGTTGATGTAGATGATGATGATGTACTACATGTTGGCTAATTGAACAGAACAATAATAATAATAATAATAATAGAATGTCAACTAGTCCCAAATCCATCTAAATTAATCTGTATTCTAATGAAGATTGATTTAAAGTTTATCCAAAATAATACATTCTTGAATTGAAATCAAGCAAGGAAATTTAGAAAAATAAGAGCTATGAGCAGGACCTTTCTCACTAGGTCTTATAATGTAGGTATATATTTATGACTAATGCAGAAATAAATTAATCATAATGCAGAAATACATAGTCTAGTTTTTAGTAGAGAAATAGATGGTCATTTGATAGAAAACACATAGATAGACTCAAAGAGGGGTGCCTGGGTGGCTCAGTCAGTTAAGTGTCTGCCTTTGGCTCAGGTCATGATCCTGGAGTTCCAGGATTGAACTCTGCATCGGGCTCCCCACTCAGCAGCCAGACTGCTTCTCCCTCTGACCCTCCCCCGTCTTATGCTTTCTCTCTCTCTCAAATAAAATCTTTAAAAAAAAAATAAATAGACTCAGGGGCGCCTGGGTGGCTCAGTGGGTTAAAGCCTCTGCTTTCAGCTCAGGTCATGATCCCGGTGTCCTGGGATCGAGCCCCACATCGGGCTCTCTGCTCATCAGGGAGCCTGCTTCCCTTCCCCTCTCTCTGCCGGTCTCTCTGCCTAATTGTGACCCTTGTCTGTCAAATAAATAAATAAATAAATAAAATCTTAAAAAAAAAAAACAACTCAAAGATAGTTTAAGATATAGTGACAGCTTATTGAATCATGGAGAAAGAATGGATTTTTTTTTAAGTGGCATTGAACAAAATGACCAAATATTTAAGAAATGAAGGTGGGCCTGCCAAGCCTTTCTCTGTGGATTAATGTGGACAAATGATTCAATTGCTGTAGTTTCAAAAGTTAATTATCTATTTGTCATGACTGATCTCTCTCTCTCTCCCCCTCCTTCCCTCCCACCCCTCTCTTTTGACTTTCATGATGTCATAGTCTGTTAGTTTTTTTCTCTACCTTACTGAGGGATCTTTCTTAGCTTCTTTTCTGGTTACTTGTGTCTTATATTGGGGGATCACTTTCTTTGTATCTCTTTTCTACATATACTTTCCTAGTGTATGAACTCGGGACATGCTAAATTTCTTTCTTAGTGATATCTACAACTTCCAAATTTAAATCTCCAAACTCCAAATTCTCAAGGCACAGAATTGGGTCTCACTAAATATTTGCTGAATTAATGAATATTGAAAAAGCTGTAGGGACACCTGAGTGGCTCAGTTGGTTGAGTGTCTGCCTTCAGCTCAGGTCGTGATCCCAGGGTCCTGGAATGGAGCTCTGCATCAGCTCTCTGCTCAGCGGGAGGTCTGCTTCTCCCTCTCCCACTCTCCCTGCTTGTGTTCCCTCTCTTGCGGTGTCTCTCTTTCTCTCTGTCAAATAAATAAAATCTTAAAAAGAAAGAAACAAAGAAAGGAAGAAAAGGAAGGAAGAAAGGAAGGAAGGAAGGAAGGGAGGAAGGAAAAACTCTAAGTTCCTCCTAAGGGACAAATATACACAGAATTTAAATAAATGAAAAGAATATTGAATGGGAATGTTCAACAGCATAAAAATGTCATTTCTCCCTAAAAACAGCAGTCAGTTTAATGCATAACTTTTTTTAACAAAGATTTTATTTATTCATTTGACACACAGAGAGAGATCACAAGTAGGCAGAGCAGCAGGCAGAGAGAGAGGAGGAAGCAGGCTCCCCACTGAGCAGAGAGCCCGATGTGGGTCTTGATCCCAGGACCCTGAGATCATGACCTGAGCCGAAGGCGGAGGCTTAACTCATTGAGCCACCCAGGCACCCCAGTTTATTGTAATCTTAATGAAAATACCAAGAGGATTTTTTTAAAGAAAAAAGTATTTTTAAAAATTGTTTTTTACTGAGGTATCATTGACATAAGATCTATAATGTTTTACCTACCTTATCAGAGAGGGAGGCAAACCAAAGAGTACTTTATTCTTATAAAATTGACCTTACATTTGCCATATGATCTGGAAACTTCTCTCCAAGTGTACACTCAAGAAAAATAAACTTTATATTTACATAAAAACCTGAAATGTTGGCAGTAGCTTTGTTCAGATTTCAGTTTATCAAAATTGGAAACAACCTAAGTGTCCTTCAAGTGGGGAATAGATAAAGTGTGTCACACTCACACATTGAATACTAGTCAGCAACAAAGGGTGTAGACTATTGGTGCGTGCAACGGTATGGAAGAATCTCGAGGGTATTATGTTGAATAAGAGAAACCGAGCTCAAAAACTACAGTTAAATGGCTTATTTAGATGTCATTTTTATTTGGAAAAATAAACAAGAATAGCTGAACAAAATTTTTAAAAAGTAGAGTAATTGGGGGGTAGCAAGCCCTTATGGAATACTAAAACATACACATCACAGACAGATAAATGGACTCTTAAAGGCAGGCCAGACATAATCATGGGTTTTATGATGAAGGTAACTTGCAAATAAATGAAGAAATAAGGATTATTTCATAAATGAAATGGTGTTGGATCAATTGATTGAATATTTGGAGAAACAGAACTGTTGGATCTCTTATAACTTTCTTTAAAATTAACTTTAGATAACTTAAAAACTTACATATTTAAAGAGTGAGACAGAAAAATCCCATCAAAGTCTTAGAAAAGGGGCACCTGGGTGGCTTAGTTGGTTAAGTGTCTCCCTTCGGCTCAGGTCACGATTCCAGGGTCCTGGGATTGAGTCCCATGTCGGGCTCCCTGCTCGTGGGGAGTCTGTTTCCCCTCTCCCTCTGCCCTTCCCCTTGCTTATGCTTTTTCTCTCTCTCTCAGATAAATTCTAAAAGTCTTAGAAAAGTCTTAGGAAAATTATAGAAGAATATTTCTCTAACCTCAGAGTAAAGAAGACTTTCCCAAAGATATGTTATTTATGTATAATATATATAATTATATATAATATGTTGTTATATATTATATATACACACAGAGTATAAGACTTCTATAATAGTTTTTCTTACATTAAAATTCTATTTAGAATAGAATTAACTCTTTAAAATAAAAGAATAGAATAATAATTAATACTGGGATGGATAACA